GCTGCTTCAAATGTTTGTCCACTCCCCCGACACCGATGGTTCCATCGCAAAACGTTGAAAATGAACCATTAAATACTAGCCACTTTAAAATACTGTTGGACGAGCTAAGAGGGATGAAAGAGGGCATTATGCAAACTCTTTCCGCCCACGAATCAATGCTTCACCAATGCCACAAGGACGTGTTACAACTGCAAACGCAACATACGCTGCTCGAAACTAAAGTAAACAACTTAGAAACAAAAGTAAACAACTCCGCACCAACTAACGCTAACGAACTGTTTACTGAGACTCAAGAACGCCTCGTCCGGTCCAAAAACATTTTGCTAATCGGCGTGCAAGAATCCTCCAGAGACGATGATCAAACTACGGTTAAGGAAATCTTACAAACTGTATCGCCTTCAATACACCAAAAGACGCTAAAATATTTTCGATTAGGCCCTAGAGTAACCGCTGGAAAAAACCGTCCCATAAAAATTGAACTAGACTCTCAGGAAGCTGCTCTACACTTTATCAAAAACCAGAATTTATTACGTCAAAGCGACAAGTACAAGGGCATAAAAATTAAGTCAGATCTCACACCCCATCAACAAAACGAATTAAAATCCTTACGCGACGAACTTGAAAAACGCAAGTCAGAAGGAGAGCCGGAATTGACCATCAAGTATGTTAGAGGGATCCCTCAAATCGTTTCGCCGCAGGCTGGACAAAAAAGAGCGAGACCCAACGACTCATTTGCCGAAAAATTAAAACATAGCAGAAATAGCGCCGGTATTGGTAACCATCAAGAAGATGAACAATAGCAATCAACCTCGCTCTTATTCTGGAACTGCCAAGGATTTAAAAACCTTTCTCAACTTTTAGAAAATGTAGATTTTAACGAAGTATGTGTGTTTTGCATTTCTGAGACCTGGTTGTTGCATGAACTAATTAATTACGATTCTCTCCCTAACTTTAAGATTTATTCATCTCTCGCAACAAAGGAAAAATCTCAGGGACGCGCTAGTGGTGGCTTATTAACTTTTGTCAACATAAGATTTAACACTTTATTATTAGACATTTGTAGCTATTGGATTATACTTTTAATATCTCTTAATGGTTTCTCACTGATTATTTGTAGCACTTACCTTAGGCCTAACCTAGAATTGGAATTTATTTTTGATGCTTTGCAGCAGACCTTATTCTAAAACCAATGAAGATTTTATAAACTTTCTCAACAAACCAATCAGTGAAAAACCAGCAAAAGTTCTATGTCGCTTTTTAATGAACGTGCTAATTATGCGAGCATTTATAATGTTTGAATAACGGTGGGAAATGCAAGACCACTGCTTTCTTGATTTTTTATTTTTTGTTCCTCCTTTTCTTCTCCTTTTTTTTTTTTTTCTTTTTCTCTTAAGTTAGGTATTTGCCCTCTTCTCTTGATCCTTAAACATTTAATTTTATTTATTTATTTATTCTTTCTCAAGTAAATGGGTAGCGTATGTTATTTTTTCTTTCTTATTTAATTGATATTATTAATTATTATTTATTTTTAAGTATAAAGGGGTGGCTCTTGATTGGGATTTAGTTGTAGGTATAATTTGAAAAAAAACTGTAAGACTTAACTTTCTTGTTATATGAGTTAATTTTCATTAGAAACAATAAAGAATTGAATTGACACCCGTCAACTTTTTGATAGATTGTCATTAAATTAATTTTTGAAACGACAGGGTTTCTTTGTAAGTTCCTCGCCCCTTAATCATCTCATCGCAGCACGAAGTTCATGTTCGTCCAGAACCATTAAGGAACTGACGGCAAAGGAACACAACAAGGTAGCAGATGCCACAACTACCCCCACTTTTCTTTGTGACATGTTTAATGCAACCCGAGATGCAACCTTACACCAAATACGTAGATATTTATAGTGATCACATACAACGATCAATTAAGAATTAGGTTTAATACTTACCCCACTATTTTTCAATATGCTTTTATATTTATAATGTCTCATTCAACACGAAAGTACTTTTACTTTTCAATCTTTAGCACCTTAGATTACGCACACACACTGACGACATGAGTCTGAGTTTGGATTGCGACTGCCCGAACAAAAGCCGTTAAAACCTCATTAGTTAAAACGAAGCACTTTCCTCATTTTTCCTGTGAATAACTATTTTTAGGTACGATTTTTGAACAAAATACTACTTTTATTTGCTCAGTTACTCATAAGTTACTCAGAAATATCACCAACAACGTTAAAATCAGATCAAAACGCGTAAGCCTATATTTTCTCTAAGTTATCCAAAGTAAAGCCGCCATCTTGGATCCTACGGGTCTGACCAGACTGTGCTGCGGGTGAAATCGCTTAAAATCAATGTGAAAACATCTCCGCAAAATTTCATACTTATATAGGGACTTATTTTGTTACAATAATTATTTTTAGGCGACTGTCACAAAAAGATTAGTTTTACGGATTCAATATCATCCCTAAAGTATATCTTTTTTGGCCGCATTTACTTTACGGCCGCATTTACTTCACGGCCGCATTTGCTTCATTACTTTACGGCCGCTTTTACTTCACGGCCGCTTTTACTTTACGGCCGCTACTTTGGTGAAAATAAACGAACAATCGGAAACGCAGTGCCGTAGCCATCAACACAACCAATAAACAATTAGTTAGCAACCACAATGAAACTAAGTTTTCCTACAGCCGTGCGGAAAAATTAATTTTCCGCACTGATATGCGTGCGGAAAATGAGTTTTCCCGCACGGTGCGGTAAAACTTTTACCGCACGCATATCAGTGCGGAAAAAGTTTTTCCGCACGGCTGTCAGTGCGGCAAAAATTTTACCGCACGGCTGTAAAAAAAAAAAAAAGAAAAATTCTATATTTTTACGCCTGTAGGAAAAATATTGTACCTAACACTTGCGGAAAATGAATTTTTCCGCACGCGGCTGCCGTTTACCGGTGAAGCAGTTAGGTAAATAGCTATTTTGATTTTAGCTCTATCCAAATTTCCACATAAAATGCTAAAAAAAACGGCATGATTAAAAATTTGGGAGAAGTATTTTCTTGCATTTTTTTTCGGAAAATGCCAAAATTAAATAATCCTCAACGTTATGGTCTTCAAGTCCACCTATGTTATACTCTATGTTAAAATTTACAATAATAGTCGGAAAAGCTAACATATCAGCAAGTTTTCAAAATTGATTGCTTTTTTTAAAAAAGCTCAATGTAAGATACCAGGCGAAAAAGTCGGCAATTTTCTATAATCACACTCTCTTTATCGTAGTTTTTGTTATAATAATTGTGTATCTACCTATCTTTGTTGAATTATTTATTTGATCAATAAAGTTTAAAGCGACTGTTGAATTTTCTTCTTTTTTCAAAAACAAACCCTCGCCTAAAAAATTTTGTGTGCACCTCGGCCGAATGATCTTTTTTGGCCTCACCTGAAATTTGCTTGGCCGAGGCGCAGCCGAGGCCAAGCAAATTTCAGGTGAGGCCAAAAAAGATAAACTTTACGGCCTTGGTACACAAATAACTATTATGTCACTAGGCCAAGAAATGGGACTTTTGTGCTGAGCTCGACGTTTAAAGACCGATGTAGAGCGGGAGGTCTTCCTACAATCGACCAATGGACGTCCCGGGACAATTCTGTAGAAAAACCAATAAAGAGCCCGCGCATATGGAATTATCTGGGCACTCCTCCTTTCTCATCAAAACGTCAAGGTTTTAGGCCATATTCTACTTGTGATAATTATTGATGCTTTACGAAATATTGCATTTTTTGGCCATTGAAATCAGTTACTACCTAAAGTGAAGTAGAAACTCGTGCCTAATCACAATGCGTTTTGTCTTTACATTTGAGGCCCTAGAAGAAAATCATAATTCATAATTGATGCTGGATTTTCGTTTAAAACTATGACATTTCCTAAATAGAACAATGGTAAACTGAATAGGTAGGTACCACTCAATTTATCACACTGGATGTTCATTGTGGTAAAATACAATTGGAAAAATCATGAGGGAGGCTTCCTCATACTTCCAACACCTAAACGCATACCGATTCGATTATGGATGCAACCTATGGAAAAGTTAAGATTAAGAGCGGTAATCCTACTTAAACATTAAAAAAAAGGGATGAGATGAGGGATTTTCAATTTAAAAGACTCAATATTCGAACTGATATTGGTTTTGGTATGGTTATGGTTTTATGTCTTTTTACCTTTGTCAATACACATGTTAAGTTTGAGTAGAAACAAAACTAAAGAGAAAGTGATAATGCTGGAAGAAATATGTAAAAGCGGCACAGAAAATACCTAGATACCCAAAATTTTAATTATTATATTGAACTAGCTAATGACCCGCTGCGTTGCCAGCATGTAAATATATTTTGAAATAATACACTTCTTTTCAAATTTTGTTGTTGATTTTCTATTTAATTTTTTTTTTTTTAAATCCGATATCATAGTCGCTTGCGAGTGAGTTCAGTGACGCATTTTAAGCACTCCAGAGCTGCTCTAGAGCGCCCCGGGCTGTTTATAGGCGTTCCAGTGTATCAGAGTTTTACGCAACCGAACTCTCCCCTATAGCCGATTCGATTGACCGGATTAGATCGATCTGGTTCAATTTAAGTGAACCACACTGTGTTCGATTCAAGCTGGATCAGTGCACCCTCATCAACAAAAAAATGATCTAGATCAGAAGAAGTTCACTTAAATTGAACCCAAATCGATCTAATCTGGGTCAATCGAATTCACCTTATATAGAGATACGTGGTATTAATTCAAGATCGGCCCAGCCGTTCTTGAATTCAAAAAATAATAAAGTTACGTCGGTTGAATGCAAGCCTAAATAAATGAAATATAGCAACGTTGTCTCATGCTGTCAAAAAAAGTTGGGTTATGTCATGTGAATGAGTTTGTTTACAATTAAATTAATAATTAATTCAAAATTAATTTATTTTTCCGAGATGCGTAACCTATCCACAAACCTTCCTTGGGATGGCCATAACAACCTAACAAAGTTTCATCGTAATCGGATAAGTGGTTTTGGAGCCCATATCCGGATACCCCGCGAACTTTGATTTTTATATATATAGAAGATAGAAGATGAAGGCTCTAAAGTTATCGCCTGAATGTAACGTCGTCGCACCACTCAATATAGTTCACACTGAAAAAAATCTCAAAATTTAGGTTCAACTCGATTTCAATAAAACTTCAAGTTAAATTAAGTTTCTGATACTTTATTGATCACATTATTCACATTCTGTTTATGCTTTCGCTTTCTATGTTTACTTAATGTATTTTTTGTATTAAACTTCATATCACACTCAGTACACTCAAACTCCTTCAAATTCAAATGGACCCGTAGGTGCTCCTCGAAATTACTTGTAAAAATCTTCCTACAGATATTACATGTATTAGTTTTAGTTGTACCTTCGTGATATTTTAGGTGAGCATCTAAATTCTTCTGCGACACAAACTTTTTATCACACAAGGAACAATTAAAGTTTTTAATGCCCTTATGATTGTTCATGTGAGCTTCGTGATATTCTTTCCTCATAAAACCTTTATTACATATGGAGCAAAAGTAAGGTAAAGCATTTTTGTGGCTTTTCAAATGAAAATTTAAGTTACTAAGTGTTTTATACGATTTCTCACATTTATTACAAGAGAATTTCTTGTCTGTACTATGACTGATCATGTGGCTCTTGTAATTTGAAATTTTAACAAATCCTATATTGCATATGCTGCAAATTGCTACAAATTTTTTATCGTGTTTCAGTTTTGTATGACTTTTGAGTTTTGTTGAGGAAGCAAATTTTTTATTGCAATGAGGAGCTTTACATTTAAATGGTAACAAGCCTAGGCAAAAATTCCTATGTTCAGTTAGGTGAAATTTTGTGCTGAAAGTTTTTTTGCAAGAACATACAAATGCTTTCAGTAAGGCAGGTTTTCTGTGCATTTTTAAATGAGTTTTAAATTTTTTCAAAGAAGAAATTTTCAAGCCACAAGATTCACACAAATAATAAGTTATTTTGTGTTTTTTTATGTGTTTTTTTAAATAATTTTTCACACATAAGAACTTATTGCACTTTTTGCATTTATATTTTATAAATTGTATTTTCTTTTTCTTTTTAATTGTATTTCTTAATGAGCAACTATTAAATTTGTTCAATAAATCATTGATTAAATTATTCAATTTCAATTGCAAATGATCAATTGTATTAACTAATCCCAAACAATCGTTGCAGAGATAGTTTTTATCAGAACAAGAAAAAATATTGTTTTTAATAAATTCAGAAATTTTGTTTTTGACTGGCATTTGGCTAGACATTGTTAAAGGGTTTTTTGAAGTGAGTACATAAAATTGCAGGCCCAGCTGAGTATACTGAGTGCTACAAACTAAACATTTTGTTTTATTGTAGAATTGCTGTTCATCACCACTACACTCTGAACTAGAATCTTCAACTATTATATCACTCTCGTCGTTGGAAGCTTCAGTGGTTTGGTCCAAGTTTGGTAAATCTGGATTATTAAAAACGATTGTTACTATAATCACTACATATGTTTTTCTTGATGTTTATAAAAATTGAAAAGTCAGCAGAATTTATAGAACTTATAATACTTAGTTAGTTTTTAATAAAAATTTCCACATTGACAGAGTAGCCCAAGGTAAAGCCTTTTTAATTTACCTAATATCTACTTGAATAAAGTTTTGATACTTACAGTTATAATTATTTGTTAAAGTCTGTGATAATCCCGCCCCATATAATGCAGAATTTTGACTAAAACAATTATTTTCCTCTAAATATTTCTGATCATAATGGCCATTAAAGTTGTTATAATGATTCAAAAATCCATCTGTTTGCTTGCCTGGCATGTAATAAGCATTAGTATTGTAATAGGCACAACTTTTATAGGTTTCTTTATCCACTGAAGTAGAATAATTGGATTTAGAAGCCCCAGTATATGATTTACCAACTTGTGCACAAGAAGAATAGTTACTGGTAAAATTGTTAGCCCACTGAGCTCCTTCAATTCTATTATATTGTACATCAATTATTGGTTCAATATTATTGCTGTAGTAGTTAATGGGGCTCAAATCCTTGTTACTAATCTCAACAAGATCATTTTTTTCAGTTACCTTTATATTGTCCCATGCAGGTAATTCGGCAAACATGCACGGGACTTCTAGAGGTTTATTTTGAGGTCTTTCAACTGTATTTTGAGGCACTAACGTCGTGTATAAGTCGTTAAACGCCCCATTTGCGTTTGGGGAAAACGTTCCTGGTGGTAACAGTGGAAATTGCGGCTGAAGATTTTCAGAGTAGGAATACTGTTGCTTGTTGTCCATTTTAAGAATAGCTATAATTATTTATTATTGTTTATAAATATTTTTTTTCTATTGTTTAATGAGAATTCAAGTAGTTTGTAAAATTATAATGCATTTAATAATAATGCACTATTATTTGTTTATTTATCTTTCATTCTTTTCTCAGGCCAGCTGGCCAGCTAGGGCACTTTCCAAAATTTACCGGTTAAATAAACCGGTAGCTGTCAAAAAATTCTGGTGTTCATAGCCAAGGATAATACACACTACACAGGATTGCTTATCGGCCTCGTGTTTGGGAATCGCGGCCATATTGTATAGTACCATTTACAACGTCATCAACTACATCATCAGCTGTTTGTGCCAGCGGTCGTAGTTTAGAATATACATTTATCATGGAAAATATGATTTAATTTTGATTAAAAGGGGGCGTGACCTTAAAAAACCACTTAAGCTACTTTAAATCAAGAAAAAAAATCTAAGATCTCTCGTGAAAACCGCAGTCCTACATTCAAAATAGTCTCCGACAAAATTGCTTGTGAAGATAAATTATGAAGGAACTTGGTGATTTGTGATGTCACACCGCTGAAATCGTATTTACACGTACCCTAGTTTATACAGGAAATAAAATAAAATAAAATAAGAATAATGAAAAATGAGGAGTTTATACAGAAAAATATAAAATAAAATTAGAATAATTATTTTGAGCCAATCATTACACGCCTGAACTGTCATCGGTCTAATCTAATTGCCGTCGTGACATGCGCAAATAGCATTTCTTCATGAAATAAAATAAGGAGTTAAAAGTTAACCAACACTTCATTTTTGCTTATTTCTTAGCTTATTTTATTTTTTTATCTACAAGCGTGCGGTAACTAAGGTATATTACACGATTTTGCGTGCGGTAAGTACCACATTACCGCACGGCGTGCGGTAATATTATTACCGCACGCTCTACCTACATAGGTACGCACCTGTAATTACCTATCAGAGATAAATTACCTACCTAAGTATCACCTAAATTCTACTTGTCCGCTGTCAAAGGTAACTAACGCATTTTTTTTCATAATTTTTCAAAGGACCACGCACGGATCTTATGAGAAAAAATAAATTTCACGATTGTCATGAAATTGAAATATGTTATGCTTCTCGACCTCCTGAACGTAAGTTCTCGTAGGCCCAAAAAGATCCTATGATTATTTTCGGAGATACACGGCCGGGTAAACATACATAATTTTCACAAAAATGCACATTTTAAAAAATGTTGAGTTTAGGCAATCACATATTCTACGTTAAAAACGGGTGGAAAATGCCAAAGTTATGTCATCTAAAGCTTTGAAGGTTAAAAACTTGTCGAAAAATGTCAAAAATATGTCATTTTTGGTTATGAATTAAATTAATGTACCAGCAGATTCTGGAGATTTTTCTTGTACTACTTTTTTTTATCGGTCCTGTATATCCGAAACTAATCATAGGATCTTTTTGGGCCTACGAGAACTTACGTTCAGGAGGCCGAGAAGCATAACATATTTCAATTTCATGACAATCGTGAAATTTCTTTTTTCTCATAAGATCCGTGCATGGTCCTTTCTTTCGGATATTTTGTTACCGCACGCTTGTACATGGGCGCCGGCAGGGGGGGCAAATCGGGCATTTGCCCCCCCCCCCTGGATTCAGAAAGTTGAATTATACAGCAAAATCAAAATATATTTATTTAATATAAAATAGTACGACGAGCGAAATTTGATCGTGGCGGCATCTAGGACTAGGATTCAACACTAAATAGCACTTTTTCTGTATTTAGTGATGACCATTTAATAGGCCGACCAAAAATCAGATAGTTGGGAAAACCCAGAATAGGAAAAACAAGTTTTCTCCTATTATCCACTGATGAGAAAATTTTTGGATTAATTTTTATCTGTTATTCTATCCACAGACGCGTTTCGACCTACCAGGACTCGTCAGTATGGCTAGGAACTTAGGAAGGCAAAGAAAACCAATCCAAGTTTAGTGCCTGTAGGCAAAATAGAAGTAGTACGACGAGCGAAATTTGATCGTGGCGCCATCTAAGACTAGTATTCAACACTAAATAGCACTTTTGCTGTATTTAGTGATGACCATCTAATAGGCCGACCAAAAATCAGGGAAAACCCAGAATAGGGAAAACAAGTTTTCTCCTATTATCTACTATTTTGCCTACAGGCACTAAACTTGGATTGGTTTTCTTTGCTTTCCTAGCTATACTGATGAGACCTGATAGGTCGAAACGCGTCTGTGGATGGAATAGCCGAGAAAATTAATCCAAAAATTTTCTCAATTTTTTTTTTAAATAAAATATAGAACAATAAAACATATGTCAATAGGAATCCACAAAAGAGCATACATTTTATTTATCTATTTATCTATATACAGGGTGTCCGTTTTAAGTGATACCACTATTACTATCTCCGAAACGGTAAGAGATACGAGGTGGGTTAAATTAGAAAAAAGTTGCCTTTTTTGATGCCCATTCAAGATTTGTTTACAGTGTTGCCAAATTCCTTTTAGTTTATGAAATACAGGGTGATTTCTAAGAAACGCCTAAAAATATTTCATCAATTATTTTGAAAACTATTGACTTTCGGGACACAATTTAAATTTGAAAGTTTTATAATTTTTATCACCCTACAACATGGCATCTTCCAATTTCAAATCTGACGTTTCGTGTTTGAGCTACCATCATCAACTTCATTTTTTTAAATACGGACTTGGATTTTTTATGTCATTTTTAGGAAGCTTCCTTCATTCGCTTTTCAGCGATATACCTCTTAAGTATGATTGGCCGACGTTTCTGCTTTAAAAGGTGATCATCAGTGGTTTTTACCAAAATTTTACCTTAATTCGACCCTGTAATTCGTTATTTGCTTAGAGCAGGTAAAGGTAAAGAGGAGTAGTAACCTGGATTTGGAAAATGAAGCCGTTTTTTCCCGGTATTTTGGCACCAAGATAATGGCGGTATAGGCAATTCAATGCTTTACCTGTATTGTGGTGCCAAACACCTGCCAAAAACTTTCATAAGCAGAATGGCGCGTTTCTACTCCTTATGTCCGTAGGCAGTGGCGGACCTAGGACCTTTGGGGCCAACGCATAAAAAAATTTTGGGGCCCTATCATGTTTTTTTTTTAGTGTTTTTCTTGTGGTGCTAGAGACAATAGCTGACGTCACACACATAATCTCATTTTTGATAGGGGGACAAACAAAGCGTTTGTTTGTCTCATGGCCGTTTTCATCAACTATTTTAGGGAAGCCTTAACGATAAGTATTCCTCAAACTGATATTTCTCCATGGAAAACTTAGGAAAACTGTCATTTTAAGGAATACTACTTAAGGCTTCTCTAAAATATGTAGTTGGCGAAAACGGCCGTCAAGTTTGTTTGAGAGAGGTAGGTTGTCTGATAACTTCATGACGTCATCCGGGATGCCTGAACATAATGCAAATCTCCATTCTGTACCCCAGATGCCTCATCAAGTTACCCATTACCAGGCAACCTATCAACTTTAGGAACCTTGGTTAATGATATGTCTGTCCCCCGAAAAGTGACGTTATGTGATTTGTAACGTAATAGCTATCGCCTAACCGATGTGTGTAATAGTCCTTGAACGCTTTGTTTGTCCCTCTTTTGGAGGTGAGGTTATGTGTGTGACGTCAGCTAGTGCCTAATTGAAAAACAACTTTATTAAAAGTCAGGCAAATATAAATTTGCCGAAGAAAAGAATGCGGACAAAAAATTGACAGGTGTGTCAACTCCTCTTCTTTAACAGTACATCCATAAAGCGATTGGCTGCAGATGATTCAAATCCATTATCGCTACCTTTATAAAAACAAGTTTGACAAGGTTCACGATACAACCCACCAATCACCATGTGTGTCCACCATTTTTCTGCTCTTCGCTCTTCAGACGTCGCCGGCAAAATTAAATTTGCTAGACTGTAAGAACATATGAGACAATATGAAAACAAGTTGAACGAAAAAAAATATTATTTGTAAAAATTCAGGAACTTTCCATCCAAACAAAAAGAAATATAACATGTAGTAGTCTCCACCCCCACTTACGAAAAGATCAAAAAAGTAAAACATGCATCCCGCGCGTCCGCGGTTGCCACATCGCGTCGAACACAGCAGGATTCCTTAGAGGTATACAACGTTGCCGTAACTTTCAAAATTTAATTTTCGATTTTTTTCATATTCATGAGTGTTTTTTTTATTAATTTTTTTTATCAATGCCTTTAGAATCTGGTTGTGTGGGGGCCCCTCAGCTCTGGGGGCCCGACGCAGAGTGCGTCCTTTGCTTCTTGTTAGATCCGCTACTGTCCGTAGGACAGCGCTTTTCTGCTCTAAGGTTATTTGTAACAAAGGCGGTCTAACAAGTACTCTTTTCCTTTTATTTAGAATACTTAGAATTATCTAATTATAAACATTATCGAAAATAATGACTTAGAAACTAATTATTATTGTAAATATGTACTCAAATTGGAGTCCATTATTCTTTAAGCGTTTTTTTCTTTTAAATATTATTTTATATGGTAAGTACTGTTTTTCATGCAACCGTCCGCGAAATTCAATTTCGCGGCCGTCACACGTTACGTGGTGTGTATACCATGACCGCGAAACTTTGCAACATTCTCGAGATTATCTTGCCTCAGCCGCAAGCAACCACGGCATTTCGCAGCCTTGGTATACAAATACATAAATCTATTATTTATTTTAGCACATGCAGCCCTTATCCTCTCTTTGAATTCTTCTAATGTCTCTGGTATTTTCGTAAACTTCATAATAAAAATCACTGTACTCTTATTCATTTAACAATTATTATAAAATGAATAAATAATAAAGAAATGTTTGGCCGGTTGCACAGCTGTCAATTTAATTTTTTTCAAGGCATTTTTTGATGAAATTTATTTATATCCCATATCAGTGATGCCAACCTGAATTTGTAAATTTACAATAATATGTTTCTACGTAATTAGTTTTTAAGTAATTATTTTAATTATTGTTCATAATTAGATAATTTCAAGTGTTCATACAAAATTATTTTGTTAATTTTGTTCTAAATATTGAAGGAAAAAAGTAGGGGAAATACGTACAAAATGACATATACGTACAAAATGACATATGTGGCATAATTCGAATTTGGCGGGCTCTAGCGCGAAACTGACA